CTATGGGAATGACTTATGAGGCGAAACGTTTTCCTTTACAAGTCACCAAAAAACCCAAGAAGAGTAATAGACTCTACACTCCAATTAGGATCCCATATATACAATTGTTCGAAATGCTCTCCGAGAGTGGCGAGATCAAACCTCAAATCCGGGAGAATGCAACCTCCCGTTCGACACAATCCATGCTAACCACACAGCAAGTTCCCATGCCTATCATTGAAGATAATGATATCGTCAAACAGTTCAAGAAAAAGAAAGTTGAAATGAACGTATGGAAACTTCTGGCCACGTCTCGAGAACATAGGTTGGTTGTAATGAATGCCTTGGACAAAATAAGGATAGATTATGACACCACTGCTGAGGGGTTGGCTAACTTCCTCACGAGTGATCTACCTAGTCCCATCAATTTGATCACCTTTTCCGATAAGGATTTGCCACAAGAAGGTGACAAACACTATAAGGCATTAAACCTCATAGTAGTTTGCAAGAGAATGAACGTTCCTATGACTCTTGTAGACAATGGATCAGCCATTAACGTCTGTCCACATAGAACTGCGAGGATTCTAGGCATAAGGGATGAAGAATTAACCCCGTCAACAAAAGGAATAAGAGCCTACGATAACACTCCTCGTCAAGCTCTCGGTAAAATTACCATGAATGTAAGGGCGGGAGCAATAGAAAATGTTACTACTTTCCAAGTAGTAGATATTAAAGCTTCATTCAATTTATTGTTGGGACGCCCTTGGGTTCATGACCTAAAGGTCGTCCCCTCATCTCTCCACCAACAAGTAAAAGCCATAGTTGGGGGAATCCCTATCGCCATTGATGCTTCGCCTATGAGAATCAAGTCTATAGAAAATCCGATAATTCATGTGGAGCACGATGAAGATGATGCAGATTTGTGGGGCTTTAATGAAGAGGTCTCCTTGATCCAGGAGAAATTTCACAGATGAAATCCCAACTCTTGTCCCTAAGGAGAAAGCACCCCCATGCTTTGACATCAACATCATGGGATAATTATTTGGGCGAAAAAAAGGATGAGCCGACATACAAAGATGATTACTCCTCGCTCATCCAAACAGTCCTACAAGTGAAAACTTCGATCCCTCGAAGCTAATCACTCCAGCGGAAGCATCAATACAAGGGTGGCGCAAGACCGTCAAGGTGACTACTCCAAGTGGAAGGAAGATTTCCATCACAACAGGGCAAGGACCGATGTTCGAAGAGTCGTCAGAGTTAGAGTCATAGTCTCTCCCTATAGAGTCATCTAGGTCTTTAGTTGTAGCACCTTCTTCTTCTCCCTCTTCTCCTAGAATAGTTAGTGATCAAGTCCCTAAGGACATATCACTCTTTTATGTAAAGATCTCAGAGTATAATAATATAACTTCTTCCCCTTACTCCTTGTGTTCTTCGTTAACCCAAGATGACGAGCACTACTTAACTAACAATGAAAAAGACAAGTAACTTATTAAAGCAATGGAAACACTCGAAAAGAAAACACCGATAGTTGAAGAAACTGAGACGGTTGATATCTCAAATGATTTAACCAATAAAAGAGAAGTTAAAATCGGACTAACACTTAATGAACAAGAAAGAACCGATTTAATTAATTTGCTTAAAGAATTCATCGATGTATTTTCTTGGTCATAGCATTAATAGAGAAATAGCTCAACACACCATACCACTAATTCCGGGAATGAAACCTGTAAAACAAAAGTTACGTCGAATGAAACCCGACGTAGCTCTTAAAATAAAAGAAGAAGTTCAAAAACAAATAACTATAGGTTTCATCAAGGTATCCAAATACCCTGAATGGGTCGCCAACGTCTTCCCAGTTCCGAAAAAAGACATAAGGGTAAGAATGTGTGTCGACTATCAAGATCTACATAAGGCAAGTTCAAAGGACGACTTCCCTTTACCACACATCGATATTCTGGTAGATAACACATCAAATCACGCACTTTTCTCGTTCTTGGACGGATATGCAGGCTATAATCAAATTCTCATGGAAAAAGAAGACATGGAGAAAACAACCTTCATAACACCATGGGGCACTTACTGCTACACGGTAATGTCATTCGGTTTGAAAAACGCGGGTGCTACTTACCAACGTGCAACAACTGCCTTACTCCATGACATGATGCATAAAGAAGTCGAAGTGTATGTGGACGACATGATTGTAAAATCAAAAGACCGCCCAAGCCATCAAGTAGCCTTAAGAAAAATTTTTGAAAGGCTAAGAAAATACAATATGAGGTTCAACCCATCTAAGTGTGCTTTTGGAGTCACCTCAGGCAAGCTTTTGGGTTATGTCATAAGCTCTAGAGGGATAGAGATAGACCCAACCAAGATCAAAGAAATCATGTCAATGCCACCGCCCAAAACTGAGAAGCACATTCGAGGATTTATTGGCCGGTTGCAATAAATAAGTAGGTTCATATCAAAATTGACAACGATATGCGAACCAATTTTTAAAAAAATTAAGAAGAATGTACCAGTAATATGGGATGACGAGTGTCAAAAAGCCTTTGAAAAGATCAAAGCTTATCTAGCAAATCCTCCCGTATTAACACCAGCACTTCTGGTAATACCTCTTAGGTTGTACTTAACAGCTACCAAAGAGACAATGGAGCTATGCTAGCACAAGAAGTAGAAGGAAAAGAAAACACAATCTACTATCTAAGCAAGAAAATGCTCGAATATGAAGCATGTTATACACCACTTGAGAAATTGTGCCTCGCCTTGGTGTGGGCCACAACCAAGTTAAGACATTACATGCTAGTGCATACAGTCTTTGTAGTCTCCCGATTAGATCCCTCAAGTATCTATTCGAGAAATCTACACTCAATGAGTGCATATCAAGATGGATAGTAATTTAGCCCAGTTTGTTTTAAGGTTTATGCCGCAAAAAGCTATCAAAGGATCTGTGGTGTCATACTTTCTAGCGGACTTTCCAATAGAAGACTCGACGCCAATACAAGACAATGAATTTCCAGATGAAGACTTAATGGTCACTGAAGATGATACTTGGACTTTACACTTCGACGGAGCCTCAAACCAAAAGGGATGTAGCGTTGGAGTATTACTAGTATCACCTAAAGAAGAGCATGTTCCAATCTCCATAAAGCTTGATTTCGACGTTACCAACAACGCTAAAAAGTATAAACCCGGGTGTTTTCCCTTTATAGTCAGTCGGGGATTTGCTGGCACACTATACACCCAAGTTAATACTTTGGTTATGATCACCTCCAATCGACCGCCATTAGACAAAACCAATGGAGTACAATCTTTAACCATGAGTGACAAAAATCGGTCTCCAAAGTAGTCGATAATCAACACTTTGATACGCTCAAAAAGCGACTTTGATAGTCTTCCAAAAGTTGGGATACTGTCGCAGTTGTAAGGAGTATTAACCCGGGTGTTTCCTTTTAAATTCAGTCAGGGATTTTCAGGCGCAGTATAAACCCAGGTTTTTACCTTTTATAGTCAGTCAGGGATTTGCAGAAACTATATAAACCTAGGTTAATACTTTTAAAAACTATAAATTTGTGGTTTTGAGAAAACCCTTTCTTATTCCTAGGGTTCTTTTGTTCTTTGTCTCGAGACACTTTCTCTCTCTTCAGTCTTTGAGTTAGTCACTCACGACAAAACCGTAGTTTTTTTTTATTGTGCTTCTCTGTTTGACAAAGTAATTGATAATCAACACTTTGCCATGCTGAAAAAGCGACTTTGGAAAGGCATTAACTTATGTTGCAAGACCTAATGAGGTATACTTGGGAGAGAAGTTTTTATTTTGCAGGCAAAGTATACACCAAGGTTAATACGGTTTATCACTGATATGAGCAATGCTAAAAAGTATTAACCCGGGAGTTTTCTCTTTATAGTCAGTCAGGGATTTGTTGGCACATTATACAGCCAAGTTAATACTTTGGTTATGATCACCTCCAATCGATCGCCATTAGACAAAACCAATGGAGTACAATGTTTAACCATGAGTGATAAAAATCGATCTCCAAAGTAGTTGATAATCAACACTTTGATATGCTCAAAAAGCGACTTTGGAAAGGCATTACCTCTCACATTAGCCCCATCCGAGTCACCATCTTTCAACGAGTACCCGCGCTTACCCAAAAGGGCTAACCGTACAACCGTCTGATATTTACTCGACTAGAACAGTCGTCCGACGTTTTTGGAAGGGGTGATTGAGGGAAAACGTCGGACGACTGTTCTTGTCGGAGTCTTCCATTTCCCCGAAATTTTCCCCATCCAAAGAGTACTCTATCTTCCAAAGAGTACAGTGTCGGCCGAAAGGGATTACCGAGTATCGCCATCCAATGTTACCCACGATCGCCGTTTTAGGGATCATTATCGGGCTAACTCCAAGAAGGCTACATTGCTCTATCGGTACCTGCGTTACCCCAATAGGGGTGACGGATTCCGTCATTCGATGTTTGCCTGATGTTCCCCAAAAGGGTGACTGAGGGCAACGGTGGGACTCGGTGAGCCCTTTTGGGTTAGCCTGGGTAATTGTTGAAGGATGGTGACTCGGATGAGATTGAGCCCTTTTGGGTAAGCGCGGGTACTCGTTGAAAGATGGTGAATCGGATGGCATTGAGCCCTTTTGGGTTAACGCGGGTACTCGTTGGAAGATGGTGACTCGGATGGGGCAAATGTCGGACAATGGTACTTGGTGAGCCCTGTCAGAAAGGGTGATTGAGGGAAAACGTCGGACGACTGTTCACGCCGGCCAAATGTCAGAGTGTGGTACTTGGTGACCCCTACTGCTAATAAAAAGAGGCGCTTACTGAGACATGATGTTGATAAGATTGGCAAAAAAGATCGGAGGAAGGTTGAGGATGTTATTCAACATACTAAGTGGGCTATGTCGAGGCTAAGCGGCTTCACATGCACTCCCAAGGGCAGGGGACAGGAAGGCCTTCTTGGGAAAGTAACAAAAAGGCTATGTTTTACCCTGATGAGTTATAGCTCGTTTGTGGGCTATGTGGAGGCTAAGCGGCTTTACATGCACTTCCAAGGGCAGGGGACAGGAAGGCCTGCTTGGGAAAGCAACAAAAAGGCTCATAGGAAGGAGCTTCAATGATGAAAGTGTATTAAAAGACATCGGACTTTGGTCATTCAAAGTTGTTGCTTGCTTTGGTTCAAATAACGAGAAGAAGCCAATGGTTGTAGTTAACTATAAAGGCCAAGAGAAGGAATTTTCTGTCGAAGAGATATCTGCAATGATCTTGTCAAAGATGAAGGAAACTACTGAGGCCTATCTTGGTACGAGTGTCAAGGATGCTGTTATCACTGTTCCGGCTTATTTCAATAATCTGCAGCGTTAGGAAACTAAAGATGCTGGAATCATTGCTGGTCTAAATGTGCTTCGCATTATTAATGAGCCAACTGCAGCTGCATTTGCTTATGGTCTTGACAATAAGGCTTCTGGAAGAAAAAATGTATTGATTTTTTATCTTGGTGGGGGTACTTTTGATGTCTCTTTAGTCGTTGTCGAAAAGGAGTCATTTGAAGTGAAATCGGTTAATGGAGACACTCATCTTTATATCTAATAAATATGATAATAAAAAATACAAATCAATAGTATCTTTTACATTCTGATAGTACTTAACTTATATAATAGTATCTTTTTGGTAATATAGTATTTAAAAGTAATGATTGAAGTCATGAAAATTAAACTAGAAAAATAATGGCATCTTTTCAAAATCATACTATTAAATGATTGTATTTACTACATATAATATTATAAAATTAATCATGATATTATCTTTTATGTTATGATAGTACTTATCTTATAATAGTATTTTTTTAGTAAAATAGTATTTAAATCCAATGATAGTATCTTTTCTTTATACCCCCGGACCACGTGTGTAAAGTTCGGGTTAAAAGGTGACGGGGCTCAGAATGACCTCTCGGACGGGCAGCACAGAAGCCTATAATTCATTGTTTTCGGGGGTCTGGGAGGTAACCCTCAGGTTTTTTTTGGAAAAACGGGTCTGTAGAGTGCATCGTTGGTTATTTGAGGGTGAAAACTGACGTGCACCATTATTTTGGTACCCGGACCACGTGTGTTAATTTCGGGCCAAAAGGTGACGGGGCTCGAAACGACCTCTTGGACGTGCAGCACAGAAGGCTATAATTCACCGTTTTCGAGGGTCCCGGGATAAAGATGGCCGAAAATCATCCGGGGGGGTTTGTTGGATCACAAAACGCGCCTATGCAAGTGGAAACCACAAACGATGGCATTTTGAAAGGTCGAAAGACACGGTGCTCGGAACGACCTCCCGGACGGGCAGCACAGAAGGCTATAATCCAGTGGGCATGTTCAGCTTACAGGGAGTCCATCTAGTGACGGCATAATCATCACACTGCGCTTCACATAGTCCGAGATTTTTCTCACACCAAGGGCGTAGTAGACAGTACATAATCGAGATGGGGGAACAATAGAGAAAACGCTGCTCTTAGGTAGCCAAACAGAGAAAGGTGAATCTTCAGAACCCAAAAACATCTTTTTTAGTGATACATCATTTGGGATAACCACATCTTCTTTGTTCACTAAAAGAATTCTACCATCTTGCAGTAATGCAGGTACCTTCATCACATTCTGATTCAGAGTCTCCTGCATCTCTTGATTCCAGTTCTTCAGAATGTAACTCCAAAAGAAGCAACATTCAGTTTCTAAGATTTCACTAGTCTCTCTAGACTCCCAATGCCTCCAAATTTGCATGAAGTGACTTGTTGAAGGAGATTCTATGACTTGAAAAGCAATGCCAAAAAATGAAAGTAACTCCTTTTCATAGCATATTTCCAAAGAATACAAGATGGGACAAAAATGATTGGCCTTGTCATGGAGCACACATAGTTTGGAATCCACCCACATTCCTTGGTTTGATGAATCCTTTGCAGGAATCCAAACTCGCAAATTTTCTTCATCTGATGAAACAGGTTTCCAATCGAATTCCTTGAGAAAACCATAAATCCGTTTAATGGGAGGAGTTTCAAATAATGATGGAAGATAGGCAGAAAGAGACATGCAAACCTCCTCAAGGTCCACCATAACACCAAGTTTTTTCAATTGATGGACAAAATTAGACATATCGGTCCCGTAATATTTAGTATCAATGACAGGAGCATTAGTGAGTTCAAGCATCTGATTCCATGTCGGTCGGGAAAGGAGGGAATCTTTTGGCAATCTACACCCATAGGTTGTCATGAAGAGCTTGGTTTTAATCAAGTTCTCAAGGAATGTGTTGACAAAAGGTTCAGCATTCTTTTCAGTCATCAATATTTTCAAGCAGTGTAGCAATGAAAGTGTTCCATCAGCTGTGAGAAGTGTTGGTTTAATAGGCCTGCTCAGCCCTCTAGCAACATATATTGCGCCTTCTTCCAAGCTACTTAATACACTAAGCATTTTGAGTTCCTCCCTGAGACCATATATCTCAATTCCATAGTAAGAAGCATCAATGAGGGGAAGATCCACAAAGAATGACATAGATGCCCACTTTAAATTGAAAAGTATTGATTCCCCAGGCTTCTTGAGTCCATGCCGAGTTTTAAAAATTTCCTCCTTTTTTAAGCTTTCACACAACTCAGCCAATACAATGTAGACTTGGACCATCTTGACCTCACTAAATCCGATTTCACATTCAGATATTCACCGTAAAGACTAATCCAATAAATAATGATGTATCGGAAGATTTGGGGGCGCTCATGTTACACATGCTCAACGCATAGGTCCCAACCAAAACCAACAACCACCTAGAAGTTGCGTCGAAACCGCGAAGGAGCCGAAAGGATACGATGATGACTCGAGGCACCGGTAGTAAGCAAACTTCAAAGAGGTTGTAGAAGGGTGACTCGCCGGCAAAGGCTAGGCCAAACCCAGACCACAGACCGGCGAGCCCCCGGAAGCAAAATCAGCAGAGGCGAAAGAAGGAGAAAGGAGGACACAATGTAATACAATGTACAATACATCCACTCAAATGTCCTACCACCAAAAAAGATGTTTTTGGATTCTTAAGATTCACCTTTCTCTGTTTGGCTACCTAAGAACAGCGTTTTCTCTATTATTCCCCCATCTCGATTATGTACTGTCTACTATGCCCTTGGTGTGAGAAAAATCTCGGACTGTGTGAAGCGCAGTGTGATGATTATGCCGTCACTAGATGGACTCCCTGATGAACCTTATTTTTTTAATTTAAAAATGGGTTTTTTGTCCAAAACTACATGAGTTACACCAGATTTTGCGAGAAACTACCTTATTTAGCCAAATCTTTGTTGACTACTACCACCCAACAATTTCCGGCGTTGACTTCAACTTTTCCAGCAATAAAAGGCCATGTGGAGGGCACATGCTTACTTTTTTGCAAGGATGCGTTGTTCCAGTTACAGTTGCAAGGATGCGATATTCCGGTTGTTCCATTTGCAAGTATAATCTAAGAGAGAATAAGATGCGGTTTTCCAGTTGCAAGGATGGGATTTAGTTAAAAAAAAGTAAGCATGTGCCCTCCACATGACTTTTTATTGCCGGAAAAGGTGAAGTCAACGCCGGAAATTGCTGGGTGTAGTGGTCAACAAAGATTTGGAATGATTGTATCTATGTAAACCTTTTGAAAATAAGGTATTTTCTCACAAACTTTTGTAAATAAGGTAGTTTCTCGCAAAATCTGGTGTAACTCATGTAGTTTTGGATAAAAGACCCTTTAAAAATATATATCTATGCAAACCTTTTATTTTTGGAAAAATACACTTTAATAATCCCAACTATTGCCGATTTACTTCTAATAATCCCAACTAAGGTTTATTATCTAATAATCCTAACTATGAGGTCAGTTTGCCTCCAATAGTCCCAATGACCGGTGACCTGCTGAAAGAGTTTTTTTTTTTCTTTTTTGTTTTAATCGCCACGTGTCAATACATAACTCGTCCAAAATTAAAATTAAAAAAATGAAAAAATAATAAAAATAAAAAAAAAATTCCAACCACCCTTTCCCACCCCCTAACCTTACCGAAACCCTAACCCCACCCCCTAACTTCGTCGGCAACCAGCCGCCCCCCACAACCACCTAAATTGGTCGGCCATTCTATGTAACCCATTTTCGATCCTCGAAGCTAACCACCTAGCCCACCCCGACCCCCCAAACCACCGAAAATGGCAGTGAAGCTCCCATTGCAAACGATAAAAGCTCAACAGCCATTTAGTATGATTTTGGCGCAATTGAACCACAAAATGAGCACTAAAACCGCTACAACGAAGATGAAGGCCGGAATCACAGTAGTGGCGGGCGGAAGAGGAAGACTGTAAGAGAGAGAAAATGGAGGAGGGAGAAAATGGAGGCTTTGGGGGGTCTAGGTGGGTGATTTCGAGGGTCAAAATGGGTGGTAGAGGACGGCCAGCCATTATCGGTGGTTAAGGGGGTTGGCCGGCCATTTCCCGGCTAGGTTAGGGGGTGGGGTTAAGATTTCGGCAAAGTTAGGGCAGGTGTGGTGGAGGAAGTGCAGCGTGAAGTGTTGCTGCTTGGATTTGGTGGGAGCAGGGGTCAGGGGATGGTGATGTTGGTTATTTGGTGCGGTGTAGGTTAGGAGTTGGAGTGGTGGAAGTTAAGGGGGGCAGCAGTCAGTTTTTTTATTTATTTTTATTTTTATTTTTTTATTTTTAAAATTTTGGACCAATCACGTGTTGACATGTGTCATAGTAACCTGTTATAACAGGTCGTTGACTTGATGTTGACCGGTTGGGACTATTGGGGAAAACACATAGCATAGTTGGGATTATTAGATAATAAATCTTAGTTGGGATTATTAGAAATAAATTGCCCATAGTTGGGATTATTAAAGTGTATTTTTCCTTTATTTTTTTATTTAAAAATTAATATCTATAATAATCACATCATATAATAAAATTCATTGTAGATGCCGTATGGCCTTTTAATCAATGGGATACCAATGCTATGAACCTTGAATACTAATGTAACAGGAGCAAAAAAGGGGAAAGAGAATTTTTTTCTTAATCATCCCAAAACCTCATACGTCTGGATTTTTGTTAATCATCTCAATACGACACAATATATGATTCTAGGTACATTAGATATAATAGTGCACCTACTTGGGCCTAATAAACTTCTTTATGAATAGAAAACTATTAATTTGTTAATGACATATACAAACACACATTCAAAAATAATTTTACTTAAGCACTCATTCTAAATTTACTTGGCGCCATTGGTTATGAAACTTTTTCATTACATTATTAAACACTCAAATTAACATACCGTATTTTATTTCTAAAAAAAATGAAAAAGTTATGTGTTCAACACTTCAACGTGAAAATCCCATTACTTAGTGAGAGACAAAGTTAAAGAGGCAAAGTTGTAAGAAACAACTTGTTCAAATTTCCAGAAAATAATTTGATCCAATTTCCAGAAAATAATTTGATCCAATTTCCGCATAAAACATAAAAAGATATCCGCATAAAACATTTTTAAAAAAAAAAAGAAAAAAAAAGTATCCGCACAAAACAATAAAAAAAATCCACCATAAAATCCATACATCA